CGCCTCCTTGGCCTTGGGCTTGTGTTTGTCGGGGCATTCCCTGTGCCAATGCCCTACCTTCTTGCAATGAGCACAGCGGGTTCGGCGCTTGAGGGCGTCAATCGAGATCCGGTACGACTCCCCGGTCTTGACATAGTCGCCGCCCTTGCCGCCTTGGAACTTCCCACCGATGTCTCGGGCCGCGCTGTAGCCCCGGGCCAATCCCTTGGCTCGCTTGGCGTCGTTGACTGCCTTGAAAGTCCTCTTGACTGTTCCTTTCGCATGCTCCTTGATCATGGTGGACAGGATGTCCTTGGCATCTGCCTCGTCGAAGGGCTCGGTCTCGTCGGCGTCGGCGTCCTGAATCGGGTCCTCCAGGGACTCCATCGCGTTCATCAAGACCTCCACGCTGTCGCTGTCCTCGGCATCGTCCTGGTCGGACGCGTCCTCCACGTGCAAGACCTGGTTGTTACGTCTCGAGGTTCCGGTGGCTCCGAGCTTGAGGTTCGTCTCATTGACTCTGACCCACTCCTTGACATCTTTCTGGTTCAACTTGCCTTGAGTGAAGTTCATGAGAAGCTTCACTTCCTCCGAAGAAAGTTGCAATGCCATCGTAAGGAGAAATCCTAAATATTCAGCAGGGAGGGCCACATCATGCTCGGTGAGCCGTCGAACACAATTCTCCCAGCGGCTGAAAAAGGTTTTGTATGATTCACCTTTTTCCCGCCGGAGAGCATAGGTGATCTTGTAGAGCGTATTCAACATGTCTTCTCGGGCATCATCGCCATAGAGCTCCTTGGTATCCATGATCTTGAGCATCTGCTCGGCGTTGTCCTCAGCATTCATCCAAGCAGCATCTCTGGCCAGGTACTTCAAGTCGTCGAAGGGAGTTCCCGACAGATTCTTCAGCAGCATCGGTCCACGAGATCTCGGCTTGGCCTTTGTCGTCGCAAGCCACAACCGAGCTCTGACCAGATAGTCCTTGAAGGTCGACGTTCCGTCCCAGGCTGGCGGAGGACCAGCCGAACCACGGCCGCTCTGGTCGTCATCATCGTCATCTCCAGTGCTCGTCCGTCGTCCCCGAGGTCGAGTTGCTTCTCGTCTTCGGACAAACTCCTCGAACATCGCGAACTCCGTGTCCAACTGGCCGCCTCGTCCAGTAGAGCCCTGAAGGGCGGATTCGGGCCGGCCTCCGGAAGCCGCCGGTGAGAACCCAGGCGGTCGCTCGTAGCTCGCCCAAGGATCCATAGGCTCTTCAGCCTCATCCTCGCTGAGGTCGTCGTCATCAGGAACAGCTGCGTCGGTGCTTGCCGCAACGGTTGCCATCAATGCAGGAACACACAAAAGCTCAGCACAGAAAGTGTGTCCCCCTACAACAATCTATGCCCTGGAGCTTTCCCAGAAGCTCCGCTACCACT